TGGGAGCCCCCACCTCGGCGTGCCCCTGGGGTTTTTGTGCTCTCTTGCCTCTCCTCCCACGGGAGTGTGAGATCAAAGGTGACGGGCCTGTGGCTGCTCAAGTGCCGACGGGTGTGCTGCACACATGGAGAGGAGCTTCACTTGGGGCTGGAGAGCAGGGGCCAACCCCCTCCAGCGGTCGTCGCAGGAGTCCCTGGTCACAGGAGCCTCCATTTCCTTCTGGGCGAGAGCGTTGCCAAGCCTGCTTTTGGTTTAGTTGAAGAGCACTCAGCATTTTCGTGGTAGGACGTGTGAACTCTGTACACACTCACCTGAGGCCTCGCGACTAGCTGCAGCGTTATCTCCGTTCTAACAACCCTCTGCCATTTGACACACACACATACTGGAGAGCCCCAGGGTTCCGGTACCCGTGGGTACCTGGCCGTTCCCCACCCTCTTGCCTGTAGACCTGCTCCTGGATGGGGTGGTGTGGCCTGGACCAGCCTGGACCCTGTCCTGCACTTCACCACCCGCTCAGTGGCTGAGCAGGATCAGATCTCCAAGTCGGGCTCCTGATCCCTCCAATGTGCTCCTTTCCATGAACTTACTTTGAACTTGTTCTCTATTGGCTCAGGGCAAAGGTCTCGGAGGCCTCCTCGAATCCTCTCTTGGGCTGACCATCCACATCCACCCGAAAAGTCCCTTCTCTGATCCCTTCTGTCCCAGTATTGCCTGCTGCCCGTCCAAACCAGCTCTGCCTCTCCGTGGGCTGCTGCGAGGTCTCCCTGCTCTGACTCCCGTGGGCAGAGCGTCTGTCTCTGCACGGCAGCCAGAGGATGCTGTTGACTGTGGGCACAGGCTCCTCTCTGCCCTTATCAGGACCCACGCAGGTCACAGACCCTTGGGCCTTGTCCCTGTGACCTCACCTCCATGGCTCTCCCCACCTTCCCGCCAGGTTTCTCCACACCAAGCTGTGCCTGCCGCTGCCTCTGCCCGCACGCCCCCTGGCTCCTGCCCCCTCCCTGCTGTCCTCTCCAACAAGCTCAGGAGGCCTGGCTGGCCGTGCTTCCCAGGCTCTGACACCCAGGGCAACAGCTCCGCTGCCCCTCACCTGGCTCACCTTTCTCCTTGCACACGTCCTGGCCTAAAACGTCACACCTCACGGCTCCTCCTCTGCCACACCTGCAGGAGGCCAGGTGGCTCTCAGCTTTCTCTCAGGCATCCGACTTGGTAGGTATGCAGCACACATTTTGGAGTCCATGGAAGGGAGGGCAACCACAGAGGGGTCAGGAAGTGGCCCGGCTCCAGGTGGAAGCCGGCTGTATCAGCTGCTGTCTGGTTTGAGGTCTCCAAGACAGGAAGGATGGGGAAAGGTGGGGTCTGCCCTCTGGCGCTGAGCCACGGGTCTCTGAAAGTCCCAGAAGTGCTGTTCCTGTCAAAACGTGTTTGTACAACTCTGTGAGGGAGCCCAGCAGCTGAGCCTGCAAAATAAGCTGACACTGCAGTCCCCGGGGTTCTGTGGACAGCCCAGCTCTGTGGTCCCCAAGGCCGTCAGCTTCCAGGGCCTCTGCGTGCACGTCCGTGTGATCTGCCATAATTAGCCCGGTCTTTGTCATCGCATAACTGCTAAGCACGCAGTGGCTGTGGCCTGCTGCTGCTCCTCTTGGAAGCAGATGACACATCGTGAAATATTTATTTGAAAACAAGTGCAGGCTTCTTAATCATCACCACTGACTGCTCTCCCCCTGAGCCGGACAAGGAGGCTGTGCACTGCGGACCTGCCTGGAGGAGACGTCCCCTCTGCTCTCCCTCGTCCCCCTTCCTGCACTGGGCTGCCTCTGTGGCTCCTTTGAAGAGGCTCCGCACCCTGGGAAGCCTGCTTGCTTCAGCCATGGGCACTGCCCTTTGTTTCAGTGTTTACATTCCTCAGGCTGCTTCAGGTGCATGAATCTGACCCCCAATGCGATAGCTGGTGAAGCCAGCATTGCTCACTAACCATGCAGTAATTGGAAAATGTGCACAGGACGCTTTCCTCTCTTGTATTAACATTGAAGACAGTTTTTCTCCAGGACCCCTGAAGTGTACCCTGGGAGTGGGAGGAGGTCTCTGGCACAGCGAGTGGCTCCAGGTCACTGCTGCAGAGCCTGCTGTCACTCAGATTTGCCAGCGAGTGTGAAGTGGTGGGGAGTCAGTTACCCGCCAAAGCCCCAAAGCTGGTGGGGACCTCAGGCCTCTGGGCCAGCAGCCCCACCTGGCTCCCCCTCCCTGGCTCCCTCTGCCTCTGCCCTGGTCTTCCCTCTAGACTCACAGCTGCCTCCTGGGCGAGCAGGACAAACTCACTAATGAACTGTCACACATAGCCAAGCCAGCTGCCACCAGGCACAGATCCCCCGAGGGTGGAAGAGAGGCCACCTGTGAGACCAGCAGGTCCTCACCTGGACCCTCCTCTTCTTTCTCCTCCCCCTCCTCCTCCCCCTCCTCCTCCCCCTCCTCCTCCCCTTCCTCCTCCCCTCCCCTCCTCCTCCTCTTCCTCTTCCTCCTCCCCTTCCTCTTCCTCCTCCCCCTCCTCCTCCTCCCCTGTCCCTCCTCCCCCTCCTCCTCTTCCTCTTCTTCCTCCTCCTCTCTTCATCTTCCTCCTCTTCCTCCCCTGCCCCTCCTCCCCCTCCTCCTCTTCCTCTTCCTCTTCCTCCTCTTCCCCCCTGCCCCTCCTCCCCCTCCTCCTCTTCCTCCTCCTCCACCTCTTCCTCCTCTTCCTCCTCCTCCTCCACCTCTTCCTCCTCCTCCTCTACCTCTTCCTCCTCCTCCTCCACCTCTTCCTTCCTCCTCCTCCACCTCTTCCTCCTCCTCTTCCTCCTCCTCTTCCTCCTCTTCCTCCTCCTCCACCTCTTCCTTCCTCCTCCTCCACCACTTCCTCCTCCTTCTCCTCTTCTTCCCCCTCTTCCTCCTCCTCCTCTTTCCCCTCCTCTTCCTCCCCCTCCTCTTTGTCCTCCTCCTCCTCTCTAAGCCCCATCTGCATGATCTTGTCTCTGCTGTTCTTGAACCAGTCACATTGCCTGGAACTTGTATTCTCTCATCTAATTGTCCTGAGAGCCCTGTCTCACGTTACTATCTCCAGATGTGCAACACAAGCTCAGCGTGGTGAATCTGTCCAAGATCCCCAACCCACTACGATGGCAGCAGTAGGATCCTGATTCCAAGACCATTGCCCACGACATACGAACGACCTGTCTCCATCACTAGTCCTGTGGCTATTTGCCCCAGAACACGCTAAGTAATACTTAAGAATTATCATGTGCAAATGACCACCAGTGGACAGTAACTGCCTTATCTCTAAAAACAAGTAAGCGATAGACTTTACTCTTTAGAGTTTTTGTTTTACAGAAACCTGGGCTGAAAGGACAGAGTTCCTGTAGCCTGCCCCCCACTCTTAGCTTCTCCTCTCACTGACATCTGTGTTAAAATCCATGAACCAATATCCACGCAACAATCAGCCATCAACACATCAAGGTCCCGCGTTGTGTACTTCGGTGGATTTTGACAAACTATAGATGCTGGCACCTCCCCTCACGGTACCCTGGAGAAAGGGCTCACTGCACTAAGAGTACACTGTCTCCATCCACAACACCCAGTCCCTGGCAACCTCCGGCAGTTAGACTTTTTCAAAAATGTGCTGTGGTTAGAATCTGTGTAATCTGCAGAGTTGGACGGTTGGAGACCGGGGGAGAGGTGGTTCTGTGGTTCAAGCCGTCGGCGTTGGGCTGGTGGAATCCCTTCTTCTCCAGGGGACATGCTCACCCTACTTTAGGCCCTCACCTGATCGATGAGCCCATCCATATCCTGGAGGGTATTCCTCTTACAGTATACCCATAAACGTTAATCTCATCTTTTAAAAGTGCGTCACATCGGCATCTGGAATAATGCTTGCTAGTACAGGTCCTGTGGCCTGGCCAAGCTCAGGTGGAGAACTAACCTGCACCCCCAGCAACCTGAATCTGAGAGCACTCCATGTCTCTTTGAGGCTCGACAGCTTGTTCCCCTTGCCAACGGGTACTCTTCCACTGTCTGGCTAGGCCACGGCGGGTTCACCCCTTCCCATACTGGAGGGATCTGATTCCCTCCACTTTTTGGCACTGTGAATGGGCTGCCCCAAGCATTCAGGTACAGATTTCTGTTTCCCTTTGACATCAGTTAGACTCACTGGGGTGAATGCCTGGGGGTATGATTCCTAGACTGTGTGTGAGACTCTTGCTTTGCAGGGGTTGCCCAGCCAGCTGGCAGAGTGGCTGTGTGCCAGTCTGCTCTGCTGCTGTGGCAGGGGCCTGGAAAGGCGACTCGGGAGGGAGGAGGTTCGGCCAGGGTTGGCCTACTCCATGGCTCGAGGCCTGAAGCGAGGCCGACCACCATGGTGTGAAGGAAGGGGTCAGAGACAAAGTAGGGTCCCCCAGGACGCCCCACCACACCCTCAGTCAGGTGGCTCCTCCTGCGTCTCCACCGCTTCCCACTGACGCCATCCAACTGCTGATCCACCAGTGGATCAATCCACGGCTGAGGTCGGAGCCCTCAGGGTCCAGTCAGCTCCCAAAGGCCCCCCTCTGCCCGCCGCCCTGGGACCCAGCCCTGGGAGTCTCTGGGGGACACTCTGTGTCCACACCACAGCACTGTGGCTTATGCACCTCCACCAGCATTGGACAGGGCTCTGCTGTTCCTGCCGTCACAGCCCTTGGGATTGTCACGTGTCCCATCAGCCCTCTGACGAGCGTGTGCTGGCCTCTCATTGACGCTGGGACGGAGATTCCCTAGTGATGGCCGTGCCGGTAGATTGACCCTCTGTACCTTGTCTTTGGGTCTCTAGCCCATTTTTAAGCTGAGTGGTTTCTTCCTTATTGAGTTTGGTGAGCTCTTTGTGCACAGTAGGTCCAAGTCCTTTATCAGATGCTTGTCCTGCAAATATTTTCTCCTGGCTGTGGCTTGTCTTTTCATTCTAAGTCGTCTTCCTGTTTAACAACGTATTTTCAGATCATTAAAACAATCTACAAGGACGCCAAGTATTGCCAGCTGATGTAAATAAACAACAAGGCCCTGCCAAACTCCTGAGCTCGGTGGCCGTTTATCACACAGGTGGACCCAGGCATGCCACCCGATCCCTGCACCACCGACAGCCACTGCTCTGCCACCCGGTGCCCATGGTGTCAGGTCCGAGCTCCGTCTGGTGCACATATGGGACATTTGGACACCGGGAGGAGAGGCGGTCATCAGGCTGCTGCCCACCCTCTCCAGCCAGGTGAGACGCGCTGTGCTGCTGTTCCAGGTCTGATGTGTGGGTTCCCTGCATTCCCTGTGGGCACTGGCAGGTTCCATGAGGGGTGGATCTTGCGGATGTCGCCCATCCCGCTCCAGGAACGGCCAGTGTAGACTTCCGCACATTGCACTAGGCCCTGCAAGACTCAAAATTCTGCACCCATATGGCAGCCCCCAGTGCCCAAGGGTGTCCCAGAGGGAAAGGTGACAGACACTGGGCTTTAGGAGCCAGGTTGCTATGACACGGAGATGGGGTGACAGAGTGGCCCACAGGGGCCTGGGGTTTTAACCCACAGCAGCCTTGTGCATCTGGTTTCTGGCAGGATCCACCAGCTGTCCCTGTGAAATGAGGCTGGTTAGCCCTCTGCACAGGGTGGCTCCACGGGGAGAGGCCACCACCACCCTCCAGAGCAGCCCTGCACAGTGCTGGGACACAGGGACACGGGGAGCCTCACTCTCTTCTCCCACCCTCAGAGCAGCCCTGCACAGTGCTGGGACACAGGGACACGGGGAGCCTCACTCTCCCACCCTCAGAGCAGCCCTGTACAGTACTGGGACACAGGGACACGGGGAGCCTCACTCTCCCACCCTCAGAGCAGCCCTGTACAGTACAGGGACACAGGGACACGGGGAGCCCCACTCTCCCACCCTCAGAGCAGCCCTGTACAGTGCTGGGACACAGGGACACGGGGAGCCTCACTCTCCCACCCTCAGAGCAGCCCTGCACAGTGCTGGGACACAGGGACACGGGGAACCTCACTCTCTTCTCCCACCCTCAGAGCAGCCCTGCACAGTGCTGGGACACAGGGACATGGGGAACCTCACTCTCCCACCCTCAGAGCAGCCCTGCACAGTGCTGGGACACAGGGACATGGGGAACCTCACTCTCCCACCCTCAGAGCAGCCCTGTACAGTGCTGGGACACAGGGACACGGGGAGCCTCACTCTCTTCTCCCACCCTCAGAGCAGCCCTGCACAGTGCTGGGACACAGGGACACGGGGAGCCTCACTCTCTTCTCCCACCCTCAGAGCAGCTCTGCACAGTGCTGGGACACAGGGACATGGGGAACCTCACTCTCCCACCCTCAGAGCAGCCCTGCACAGTGCTGGGACACAGGGACACGGGGAGCCTCACTCTCTTCTCCCACCCTCAGAGCAGCCCTGTACAGTGCTGGGACACAGGGACATGGGGAACCTCACTCTCCCACCCTCAGAGCAGCCCTGTACAGTGCTGGGACACAGGGACACGGGGAGCCTCACTCTCTTCTCCCACTCTGTCCAGGGCAGGTGGGGTGGGGCTCAGGCTGGAAGGTGAGGTGAGTGTGATACCAGGTCTGACCCTTGAGAAGCTCTTGCAGAAGCAGATACCTGCTCAACCCCGGGTCTGGCCAGGTTCGTGGGGCCACTGTCTTCTCCTTTAGGCTCGTGTGTGTCCCAACAGCAGCTCGTGGTGAGATGAGGGATAGTCATACCTGTCTGTGTGCCACCCACGTGTTTATCATGTCTCATCCATTTGTGTCTACCTATGTGTCCATCCTCTGCTAATCTCCCATCTTCCACCTACGCCCACACATCCCGTTTCCTCACCCTCCATCTGCCCACAGACCCCGGCTGTCCCTGTCTGGGCGGTTCTGAACAGTGCTGCCCTGTGTGTGGAAGTCCAATGACCCGCTGCCTTTGGGTCCTACCTGGATGGAAGACTGTTTCTGATTTGTGAGGATCTTCTGCTCTTTTCCATAAGGGCTGTGTTAGTTTATACCCCACCTGCAGGGGGTGGTCTTGGTGCTCCCTGGACACTGAAGCACTGGGCAAGAGGTCACCTCAACCTAGTTGGCAGTTCAGGAAGTGGGACAGTGCTGCCCTTTGGGGCTGAGTGTCTGCAGATTCTTGGAGAGACCGTGTGTAAGGGGTGCATGTCAGTCTTCCTAGCAGAGCCTCCGGCCTGAGGTCCGTGCCCTCCCACACTGGTTCTGTTCACCTGAGCTCAGGTGAACAAGTCTGTGGTCTATGGTGTGTAGTCTGTGTGTGGTGGATGGTGTAGACCAGGTCTGTGGTCTATGGTGTAGATTCTGTGTGTGGTGGATGGTGTAGACCAGGTCGGTGGTCTATGGTGTAGATTCTGTGTGTCGTGGATGGTGAAGACCAGGTCTGTGGTCTATGGTGTGGACTCTGTGTGTGGTGGATGGTGTAGACCAGGTCTGTGGTCTATGGTGTAGATTCTATGTGTGCTGGATGGTGTAGACCAGGTCGGTGGTCTATGGTGTAGATTCTATGTGTGCTGGATGGTGTAGACCAGGTCGGTGGTCTATGGTGTGTAGTCTGTGTGTGGTGGATGGTGAAGACCAGGTCTGTGGTCTATGGTGTGGACTCTGTGTGTGGAGGGTAGTGTAGACCAGGTCGGTGGTCTATGGTGTGTAGTCTGTGTGTGGTGGATGGTGTAGATCAGGTCTGTGGTCTATGGTGTGTAGTCTGTGTGTGGTGGATGGTGAAGACCAGGTCTGTGATCTGTGGTGTGTATTCTATGTGTGCTGGATGGTGTAGACCAGGTCGGTGGTCTATGGTGTGTAGTCTGTGTGTGGTGGATGGTGAAGACCAGGTCTGTGATCTGTGGTGTGTATTCTATGTGTGCTGGATGGTGTAGACCAGGTCGGTGGTCTATGGTGTGTAGTCTGTGTGTGGAGGTCTAAGTAGTGCCCAGGTTCCAAGGAGAGTCCCATCCCTGACTGTGAAATCCTGGCCAGTGGACCTGCAGAGGCCAAGTCGCCTGGAAGTCCTCATGAGCCCAGTGACAGTCCTGGGCCATGACCTGGCTGTCAAAAGACCACCCAAGCTGCATGCCCCAGACCTCTGGGACACCCCTGAGTCTAGGTCATCAAGTGTTCAGCTCATGAGCCGCAAGCAGCTCTGTGGATCTGCTGCTCTGCCTTTGCCCAGGCACATGGCAGTGTGACAGCACAGTCCAGTGCCCAGAGACAGCACATCAAGGTGCACAGGTGGGCACAGGGGCAGTGCGGCAGGCCTGCAGACAGGGCAGGGTGATTGCACACCCCGGGCCAGGACACGGTGAGCCACCACCGTGCAGTGCCAGCGGTGGTCATGGGTTGAAGGGCAGTTTCTGCGTGGCTGGTATCTAATCGCACAGGCCAGCGACCGAGGAGACGTGATAAGAGAGTCTCCTTGTCAGTTTCTGCCCGGCCCTCTGTCTTCATCAGGGCAAGGCACCCGTCCACATCCCATCTCCTGAGCTCAGCTGTCCGAGGTGACAGTCGCCTTTGAATGTAAAGTACCTAGTATTGATTTATCATGAAATAATGTGCTGTCCAAATCCACGGACCGTCGCTACAAGCCCCCTCTGCTCACACAGGGGTTCAGGTGTCAGTCTGCTTGTGAGTCCAAGAGAAGGCTGGTCCCTCCGAGCCACGCTGACTGTGCCCTGGTCTGGCGTGTGTCTGCTCGTGTTCACAGCAGTTGTGCCAATGAGGGTCCCAGTGTGCATGGCCCCTCCTGTGGAGTGTTAAATCACACTCCACCAAGAGGGCAGAGGCGCGCTGCAGGTCCTGGCAGGTTGCAGGCTCAGACCCTTGACAGGCTGCAATCGTGTGGTGGCCTGGTGGCCTCTAGCTGTCACTCTCCCCGCTGACCCTGCCCCTGAGCCAAGTCACAGTCCCCGGGGGGCACCTGCGGAGCAGCACAGGGATTCAGGGGTCTGGGTCCTGGGGGCCACCAGACCTGTGTGCCTGGGAGGGCTCTGCCTGCCCACCGTGGCTTCTCCCCTGCCCATGTCACAAGTAGTGCTTCCTGGCTGAGCTGCTACACTCCTAGCTCAGGCCTAGCACTCCCCAGAGGGCCTGGGGACACCGAACATAACAGGAAATGGCAGCTGTGACCCAGTTCTCCCTGTACCCCATGCTGCTCACCACCCTTGTGTGAAGAATAAAGACTTCCTTTCAGCAGAGGAATTGGTTTTCATCTCCACCTGTCAGGAATGGTCCACCAGATCCATCAACTCGGTCGGGAACCACTGGCCCCTGGCACTGCTAGGACCTCCCTGGGCCTCACGGAGTCCTGCCTGCGAGACCCTGATAGCTGGAGGCCCAGGAGCCGGGTCCTGTGCCACCCATCTCTCACCCCACGAGGCCTTGCAAGGAAGCCGTCTGCCCTCCCAGCCAGGCCCTGTCCATGGCCACCAAGGAGGCTCCCGGCAGGGAGAAGCAGGCTCCCGTCAGGTCAGCTTGGGCTGCCCATGGACGGGGTGGACAGCCTGGCTCCACCCACACCTTCGCTCTATGCTGCTGAGAACACGGGAGGAGGTGAGCTGGGCTGGGTAGGGAGAGCACGGCAGCGGGGTGACCCCAAGCCAGAGACACCGGACTGTGAGGTGACGTACAAGAGAAATGGGAGAGAGCAGCAGGTCCTGTCCTGAAGGGACTTGCACCACTCAGGGGAACAGCACCCTGCAGCAAGGTGCACAGAGGACACTGGCTCCACCCCTTTCGCAAACTTCCACACTTGTAATCCTGGGCTCACTCCAGTAGTGATGCTCAGATGGCTGTGGATAGGCCGTGAGTACTCATGGGGAGCACCCCTATGAGACAGAGCTCAGCAGTGGTGCTGGCCCGTGCGGGCATCTAGGTGGTGTCAGCCAGTGTTGGCGTCTAAGTGATACAGGATGGTGCTGGTATCTAGGTGGTGCTGAATAGTGCTGGTGTCTGGGTGGTACAGGCCAGTGCTGGTGTCTAGGTGGTGCTGAATAGTGCTGATCTCTAGGTGGTGTCAGCTAGTGCTGAGGTCTAGGTAGTGCTGAATAGTGTTGGTGTCAAAGCATTTTTAAAGCTGCCCTCTCGAGGCCGAGGACTCACCATGGACCAACTTGGCCCGGTAGCCTTGTGGGGGACAGGACAAGGAGCCGGGCCACAGTTCCACTCACTCCCATTGACCATCCTAAAACCAAGAGTTAGGTTTCTGGCCAAAAAGCTGATGAAA